TAAAGGACTCAGGGAAGGAGCCACGAAAAATTTGCAACATTTAAGAATCTCCCAGGACATTTCAAGTAGGTACATTCAGTACTCACTCTCCAGCCCTTTGTTCACTGGAAATGAAATTAATAGAAAATTCAAGGGGAAATAGTAAAAGTTCTTTCGTTTTCCTCGGTCAACGGTGATTCGTCCTTACATTCTTCCATTTCAATGACCGCATGATCAACTGTAAAGAACTTATTATTTCCATGTTCATATAATTGCACTCATTATGCTTGCCACCAACGATTAAACCAACTAGTTCATTAAAATCGATCTTTCCAAGACAACAAGCAAAAACGAAGTAAGAACCACCGGCTCAAGTTTAAAAAATCGTTATTTGCGTTAGCGGAAACTTCTCAACTCGCGTGTTTTACCAGTTTGAGCAATGATACCTATGTATATCACCCACAAGTATAGACGATATCTATTAATACGTTTTCGCATAGTCCGTCGGCTCTCCTACATTATATGCAGCGAAATTATTGTGTTCTCTTCAAATAGATAACTAGTCGCACTTTGAGGTAGGTATGTTGCCTATTTCGTAATATTGAAGGCGAACTATGAATAGACGATACCTACCAACAGGTTAACCAGGATGTCAAGGAGTTCAATCGAACCTCATAGAGCGATTGAAAAGTGTCGAGGTCCCCGCTATGCTTGTTGCCTATGTTGCGGAATTGAAGGCGGACCTTAAGTTGACGATGTCTGTCGACACTCGGTCTATTGATTTGTAAAGACTTGAGAGAATCGCAAGGTATTCTCAAATCCTTTTGTTCGGCGTCATTGATAGCTATCTCATATTTGCTTTTAAAAAAAAGACGTTTGGCAACGTTGTAAACATCACTCTCCCCTAATAGAGCGGGAGCGTCTTGAAGTTGAAATCTTGAACAAAGCACGTCCCGACTGTGCAATGCATTTTCCAACTGTTTAGCTTTATGACCCGCCTTAAAAATCTGAGGCAAACCAGCCGCAGCCCACGAATGCAATCACTTGTTGATAGTGACAGTGAACACTGTTCAGAGCTCCCTTGCTTCACTCCTAAGTTGACTCATTAGAGGTGAATGGTATGGGTTAGTATCGCTATGGTCACAGGATCGTGTTAAGATGACTTCATTCCAGCAATTCTTGAATAGTAAAATTTGTTTAAACGCCCTGCGTCTTGCGTTAAATAACCTGGTCAGATTTTTTTGTTGTGATTGGTCAACGGTTTATCGGGTCTTAGTACTGCCCACCATTCAACAGCCCCTTCCCAAGAGCAGAGATTCAAAGTAACAGTTTGATGATTTTTACAAGGGCTGCGTGTGTAGCCCGCAACAAATATACGAGAATTCTATAAGATACTTTAAAATTTGATTTGTATTTTTTTTCTCTTTTTTTCTCTTTTTTTTCAAAAGATTTCAAAATTAAGATCTTGCATGTAAACACGCGTCGAAACGCCTCTCGAAAAGGCAAAAAGCTCGACAAATCGTCGGAATTGTCTCCGAATTTTTTTGTTCGGTGTCGTTCTGTTCAAAAATTTCCTCACCGATCGATCGGGTAGATTCTGCATCCCTGACCGAATCGCTTCACTGTATCTTGCATTATTTTCGCACCAATATTTTGCGCTTGTGGTTAACGTTTTACCCCCGTACCAAAGTTGTAATTTTATTCCGGGGGGACACTCCGCGACGAGTCACCGCTAGAACATCGGTTGGCGGATTGGAATCGGGAATCGGCGCGACAAAAGACCGGCTTATGTGTCCGTCGTTGACCGAATCACCTGCCCGATCCGAAATCAAAGGCTGGAACAATTACGCTAATGGACGCGGAGCGAGGCTTTAATTAGAGGTTATACCGATGCTCGGCCCTGCCGCACGGTGGATCGAGTCAATGCGGGAGGTCGGACAAAATTTGGAAACTTCAAACGCTTATAACTCCGTTCATACACAATTTTGAGGTTCTGAAAGTGGTTTCATTGGCTTCCTTGTGAAATTTTCTTCCAGAAGCACCCCTTACAATTTAAAATGTGGCGAAATAAGCATGAAAATTTGCAGTTTTAGTTCAAAATTTCATGTCCGACTTCTCTGATTGACTCGGTCCACTGTGCGGCTTATCCCCGCGGTATCCCTCCGCAACAGGGATTAACCGCAGCTCTCTCGTTACAGAGCCACACTCCCGTGCGAAGGAAAAACGCCGTATGAGCAGTCGAAGGTTGCTATATTTCCACTCGGAAAATGTTTATTTTTGAAGAGAGTTATGCTTATTGTGCGTTGAACTTTTCAGACCGTTTCGATCAAATTACGAACATGATGCTCTGAAAAATTTAATGGAGGATGTTGACGAATTTTCCCGAAAATTAGTGATTTGTCAAAAGAAATTTGGCAACGGCAGAGGGTTCATACTGCGTTTTTCCTCAGAACGACAGTACATCGGTTCGGTACGCCGCGGTTGATCGAAACATTCGAAATGGGGAGATTGGCAGTCGAATTAGCGGTCAGCGAGATGTAAAACGCCGTATCGTTGATTTACAGACGAAATAACATAAGGCACACGGTAAAATTTTGGCGAAACTGCTGGAGTTCCGCTCCTGCTTCGGTCAACAGCATTATCCATCAAGGGTGAAAAGCTCGCAAGAGGTCAGGGAATTTTGCTTCAGAATCTTTGAATTCTCGCCTTCAGTCAAGAAGTTTAAGTATTTTTTTGTATACCAGATGATACTCGAAAATCGGGACAAAACTCGGTCAAAAGCAGGGACGGATTAAGGGGGTGGCCACATGGGCCCATGGCGGCAAATTTTGCAATTTTTTTAAATTAAGCTATAAAGAAAAATCGGATTCAGAGAAAAAATATACGAACGAGAAAAGGTGACAAAGTCTCTCATTTCCCGAGAGAATATCTCTAATTTTATAGTCTTTCTGTGATACAATAGACAGCACCTTTCATTAGTCGAGTTAAGACTAAGAGAGAAATCTCACGTGGAATTCGGCCTGGAACGGCGGCGCGGTGCAGAGAGCAATGATGACGAGAACGTGAGATGAAAAAGAGAAGCCCTCGGCGCGGCGATCGGCATGTAACACATATTAGCGCCTACAAGACTGCGTGAATACTTCACGCATTGCGCCAAAGACAGTGCGGTCGCTGCGGTCAGCAGCGGGCAGCTTGAAACGCATAGCGCCTACAAGACTGCATGAATACTGCAAGCATTGCGTCAAACAGTGCGTGCAGCAGCGGTCAGCGCGGCGCGGCGGCGGAAGTTAAAATTATTAAACCACATCTATGTTTGTTCTTTCATAATTTTTTGGTTCATTTCTTATAAATGGAGGGCCTTGTCCAAACAGAGATAGGTTTACGGAACTTAACTTTCGCGCCAAGTTCCGTGAACTTTTTCTAGTAGTGTTGACGGGGCTTTCGCAAAAAATGTGACTAACACGAGTAAACGCGTCTTATACGCCTCTTCCCCTCCGGCACGTTCACTTGATGGTTTTTATTGATGTTTCAAAACGAATGAGAAGGGGGCGGCAAAATACGGGCGGCCCATGGGCGGCAAGTAAGAAAATCCGGCCCTGGTCAAAAGAAGTTTTAGAAAAATGGAATTAGCCCTTGAGCTCGAAATTTGGAGAAGGAAGCTAAAGATTTTAAACTCTAATTTAAAACTAACAGTCAAAATCGAATTTTTTTAATGATCGCCAGTCGGCCGTTGACCGAAAAAGACAGGAACTGTTTTTTTCCTTAATGCTATAAACATACTCCGACACTTAGACACTTCGACTTTTTGTCTTTCTCTTTTTCCCTTCTTTTCCTTTCCTTTCCTTTCTCCACCTCAGGTCTCAGTTTTTAAATCGAGCATCAAAACTCGAATTATTTCATATCGCGAGAATGCGGGAAACGAGCGGAAGCTTCATCTGGTGATCCCTGGAATAGATGAATTCTTATGGAGTTCACGGCTCATAAAGGGAGAGGACTCTTTCGGTTATAACGTCGAGTGATTCATTTTTCGGAGGCTGCGGCAACGCACCGCGCGCGCAGTTCGGCAGCTGACCGTAACCGGTTTGCATATTTTGCGTTTGTTGAACCGTTGTCGTCGTCAACCAACTTCAATTCCGAGGACGATCGACCAAGAAACGATTTCCCGATCTTGCCCCCTCCTCGCGCTTCAAAAACTTCTGAAGCTGGCTCATTTTGGCTGCGATTATGGAAAAGTTGGAAAACTCTCTCTTGGCTCTAGGATCTGCGTGTAGATGGTTTAAGTTGAAATATGTGTAGCCTCGTCGCAATGTTTGAAAATCTCCGATCATGTTTTATTCTCCAGAGGAAAAGTAACCAAAATATATTCTAAGAACTGTCTATGAATCATGCGAGGGGTGAAAGAAATCTCACGAAAAATTGTTTGTTCGTGCTCTTCCAAAATCTGAAACGAAATTTGCAATCGAAAGTAAGCTTCTCTCGAATTTAATCAATGTTGCCTTTTCCTTGCAAGTTGCATTTTTACCCGGAGAAATTTGGATATTTTGAACTGAAAATTTCACTAATTTTTCTCATCTTATGCACAAATCGGACAAGTTTTAGACGAGGCACATTCGGAGGTACATTCTCGTACAAAATTGCATTGTTTGAGTCAATTTTGCAACCTTTGAATGAAGTTACGTTCCTTCCTGCGGGAAACTACGGATTATCATCAGGGTGTCTACAGATCCGGAAAGTCCGGAAATGGGCGGTCCGGAAGTACTGAAAAGGTGCGGAAATTCCGCACGAAGGTCCAGAATTACTTTCATTTATTTTTGTCACTTTCGTCTCAATCTAAGCGAGAAATTCAAATTTTTAAAAATTTTCGAATTTTTCTGTTGAAGAGGCACTGAATCTCTTGGGAATGTACTGCAAAAGTGCAGTAAACAAACTGATTTTTGGCCAGCCTGTTTTAGCAGTCATACTGATTATCATGCTTTCCAGCGCTCCAAACTAATCAGTAACTGTTGATTTTTTTGTTGCAGGAAATCCGCGACATGCTGTGCGACTTCCCGGTGCAGTGCGTGCACATCCAGAACGGCGGGACCGGCTCGAAGGCGGCCAAAGTGATCCTGGAGGACCCGGAGATGCTGGAGGAGTGGGACCCGAACAAGAACTTCTTCCTGCGGGGCCAGAAGATTCCCGTGAGCCCGGGCCCCACCGACGGCATGCTCTGCGTCGCCCGACTCCCCCTCACCATGACCGAGTCCCAGTTCACGGACCTCGTCCGCCCCTTCGGCGAGATCAGGAGACATTTCCTCATGATCAGCGAAAAGACCGGTGAGTCCAATATCCAACTCATGGTCTCTACACTGCCGTGCTAAGGAAGAACGCCGTATGAACCTTCAGGCGTTGCCAAAGTCCCTCCCATAAAACCATGGTGTCTAGTTTTTTTAAAATCCGGGAAAACCTGGGATCCATCAGGGAATGAAAATTTACCGGGAAAATCAGGGAATCTGCTCCAGAAACCGGGAATCTCTTCTCGAACCACCCAGGGATCATTTGGATTGCATTTTGCAAAAAGGAACCAGGAGCATTGCGATGTTGCTAAGATCATGCAACTCGATCCATTCCAATCTAACTGTTGAAATCATGTGAAAATATTAAATATATATGGAAATTTGCGTCTTAAATTTACAGTTTTTAGCGAGCAAAATAGAAACTGTTGATAGATAATCAGGTTTTTCTTCCAAGACAAAAGAAGTTGTACGATCTTAGCAACATTGCAATGCTCCTGGTTCCTTTTTGCAAAATGCAATCCATTTCGTTTTCAAATTTGGCGGTCTAATCTGACGCGCGCCAAAGAAATGGCCGTAAGATTAATTAAAATCGATATTCTTATCTGAAACTCTGGAAAATTATATCCTTTTCCTCAAGAAAATCCCGGGAAAGTGGGAGAAAACCTCGGTTTCTCATCAGGGAATGAGCTCCTAAAAACCAGGGAAAAATCAGAGAATGAGCTATGCCAAGAAAACTAGACACCATGCATAAAACGCTAATTTTCTGGTAAACTTATGAATATTTTCCTCCCAATTTTCTGATAATTTTGTTCGCAATTTCACCTAAAGATTCTGTAAATTTAATGGAAAAATATTCATAACTATCCTCAAAAGTAGACATTTTATCAAAGTAAACTTGGCAACTCTCGAATGTTCATACGGCGTTCTTCCTTAGCACGGCAGAAGCGGTGTCACAGTCAGGGAAACATTTTCAAGTCACCTATATTTGCTTTTTAGTAGGGGTTTGACGTTCTGAATGACTACGCGGTTGCCACAGTCGGGAATACTGGGAAACGTCAAGAAAAAGTTTGGGAAATATCAGGAAAAGTGACGAAAATTTCCGAAACATTATCAAGTCACCTATGTTTGCTTTTTAATATGGGTTTGACGTTTCGAACAACAAATTTTGCCTGGAAACTTATTTCTAATTTAGTCTTTTTAACCATCTAGCGTATCCTCAATTGTCAGGGAATTTCATTTTCTAAATTGTGTGGCAACCCCGGGATTCGTCAGGAAATAAAACATTTAGGGACTTTGTTCCAGGAACCTCTTCTCTTACCTGAGAGACTGTTTCTTCTCCAAATTTTGCGGAAAAAGGTTTATACTATTGCAACTGAGTCGCCGTTATTGACCACACGTTATTGAACGACATTTCCAAATCTTCAAATCATCTTGATAATAGAGGAGCTTTTACAAACTAGATAAGATAAACATCAGGAACGCTTTTGAAATTAAAAATTTGAATGTGCGTCTAAGAATCGGCTGAAAGATGGATGTCCACAAGATGAAAGAGAATGTGAAGTCTTTTCGGCTGATTCAGAGACTTTAACGAAGAGTAGAAAAGTTGGATGGGGCAAAACTCGCCTTACAACTATTTTGCACCTAAACCCTTCTCAAAATTTTGCAGCACAAGAGGCATTTTAAAGCCAGTTTTTCCCCCTTTCTTCGTCTTTTGCAGTCTAAACCGTGATTACGTAGAGACCAAATGTCTAGATTGTGGAACAGAAACTTAAAATTCTGCAAGCTGGATCTCGATGTTTTTCTGGTTTCAGTGTGGATTTATATAAAAGTAAACATACTCTCGTGTATTTCTATACTTCATTTGACCGATGATTTTCTATGTTTTCAGGTGAAAGCAAAGGATATGGCTTTGTTGAATACACTTCAAAAGACTCGGCTCTTCAAGCGAAGAGTTGTCTAGACGGAAAATACTTAGAAGGCTGGAGTTTAGTCTGTGACTGGCTGGATAGCCGCTTATTAACCTTTGAATCTCTTCATTCAAAATGCTTGTATGTTGATAAACTACCCAAAGACTTCAGGGATATGAGTGAATTTCGAAAAGTATTTTCCTCAGTTGTCAATCCTCCGTATTGTCAGGTTTGTTTCGCTTCATTACTAATTAAATATCTTAACAATAAAACATTTTAATCCTTGAGTAGTTTAATTCATACGTTGATTTCATATAATTAGGTATCTATTTTTATTTGATTGCCTCTTCATATTGTAAAGCCATTTAAAAAATCGAATGAACCACCTCGTTTAATTAGATGAGATATTTACTGAACTTTGTTTGCGCTAAATTTTTTTTGTAAAATCCTCTGTAACTTCTCCTCCTTAACGAAAAGATATTCGCAGAAAATTTTAAGAAATGAGCTTTTTGGTTAATATTTTTCGAAAAATATTGTCATCGGAGATTTTGATACGTTGTAATGGAGGTATGCCTTCTTCAACTCTGTCATCAATATTCTTTCGACACTTATTTCACAGTTTTTTAAACTAATATTTTTCAATTGCAAACTGCGATAAAGAATGATAACGTACACTTTTAAGACAGAACCTGTATAAAAATTGCATTTTAAAACTTCAGTTTAGATCTAAGTTCAATGAGTTTTCTTCCGTGTTAAAAAAAAAGGGGGGCATTACAACTACCATCACTGTAAGCCTCTGTGCCCTTGTGTAAGTGAATCCTCTGGTTTTTTGGAGGGTAATCCCAGTTCAGTAAAAGAATGATTCGATTTTTGATCACTAATATTCTCTCTCTGCATTCTTCTTTTGCAGATCGCCTTAAAAAATGGTTATCCTCAAGATTGGGGTCTTGTTGAGTACAGTAATGCTGAAGAGGCCGAAGTAGCTCAAGTCTCCCTGAATGGATACGTTTTAAGAGGCCAGGCAATTAGGATTAGTTACTATATACCAGGAGTACATGCGATTAATTTGTACTTAAAGCTTCTCAATGATACGGTAAGTTACTTTCCAACAGTTTCTAATGTCAAGTTTTATTTTTTCTATTTACCTAAATTCTGAAGCTTTAACATTGGACTATTCTTTAAGGGTTGAAAAGTGTGACAGAAAAAACATACAAAATACCTTGCACTGACATGTACATCAGTATGTTAACATTGATTTGATTTGTCTTTCAACTCAGACCAAAAGCTGTAGATCTCGTGAAAATAATTTATTTCTAGAAACAGTAAATTGTAAAAAGATGTAGTATGCAGAATCAGAGAATTAGCATTTCGCTGGTATCCGTACCTACATAATACTCCTTCTCCATGCAATCAGTCATCTCTAATGTTCTTTAGCCTTCAGTCGTACAAAAAATTATTTAACTCACCTACTTTATTCTTTTTCTTATGTTAAATTCTGTGTCTAATATCTTTTCTTTACATATCACATTTTTATTTTTACAGTCATCAAAAGGCAAAGGTGCTGGACTGTTACCAGAGCCATCTTGTCAGACGATTGTCCAGTCTCTGCAAAATATTTCAAAGCAAAATCCAATCTGTAAGTACTCAGCAGCTTTATTTCCATCCCCCTTTGAAATTCTGAAACCACGTCTTGTCAGCCCTAGATTCAGTTTGCCCCTTAAGGATTTATTTTTCGTCTCTAATAATTATGCATTGAGCTGATAAATATTACCCCAAAGCAGTATTTTGTCTTGCTGATTCAGAATCAATGAAATTACAATAAAAGCTTGCTGAGTCGAACTACGGTTAAGACAAAATGCTGCTTCAGTCAAATTTTTTTTCGGTCCCCACACAATCGACTTAGCAAGCTTTCACTGTATTTTTCCCTTGAAAGAATCTTTAATCATTGCAATTTCATTCATAACAAAACTATGCCAAGTACAAAATTATGATACCTTATTAGAAGAGCAAAGAACTATTCAGTACTTATGTAAAATATTCCACTAAAATTTTGACTAAGTTCTCGTGAACAGCAAAATGCATTCATGATCAGGAGCTCCGATGAGGTTAGTTTTAGGCATCCACAAGAAGTGTCTCTTCAAATGAAGCAACAGCCATGAGTTATTATTTACACAACATGTTCACCATCTGAAATGATCCCAATTTCTAATAGTTTCTTGTCTCTTTACAGTCGCTCAAAACCTCCAAAGTATTATTCTATCTCAAATCCAAGCGACCCAGAATGGAGGGTCAGAAACTGAAACTGTCAAGAAACCGACAGTGCCCACTGCAGGAACTAATGGAACCGTTAATCCAGCCAAAGGTACGACATTTTCCAAAACATCTAAATTTTTACATTACTTCTCGCCTGTGAAGAAAACGTGGAGATCAAATAATTCTACACTGCCAGATAAATTAATCGTAACCTTTGATTCACAGCAACAGAAATAATTTTGACAAGAAGGCAGCATTTTCACCCATCAATTTCTACATCTATCAAAAAATACTACTCGTAAATTAAACACGGTGCTGCTCTTACTTTTCCTTTCACTAAAAAATGGAATGATAACATCCCTCAACTGTAAATGAATATTGCACCTATAGCTCTTAACAGCGGATTATGCAAAGAAAAGAAAGCTCCAACCTTCATTTTCAGGCAACTTTTTGAAAAGTTTCTTATGACTAAAAACAGCTCCTTTTCTTTCAGGTGGTCCTCAGCGTAATGGAACCAATTCAACTAATCCTAATAGGTTCACTCCGACTAATGGTGTTGACTCAAATAAGACGCCCACACCATCATTACCCTCAGTTCCTCGGAAAAACGGCTCCACTCTTCCGCAGAATATTTCCTATCTGAAACCCAATCAGAAAGTAAGTACATTCACAAACTCCTGAAGCTATTTATAATTTATTGTGTCATATCATAAGATTTTTTTTTTCTTTTCTTTTTATCTTTTTTGGAAGAAATTATATTTAAGTAAAACGTAACTACTGCAAGAATATTTCTTGTATTTATCCACATGATTTAAATGAACTAAATTAATTTCATTGAATACACAGAGTAACATTAGATCATAAAATCAGAATGTTATTTCTATTCTGATTCAAATGTATCGTCAAATGCAGCATTACATTTACCGCACTATTTTTTGCAAGATGTTTGGAAAACCAGATGCATTTTCAGGAACTATGAAGAAACGTTCAGAAATTGAGTTAAAGTTGCTGGTTCCTTTAATGTTTTCAAAATCACAAAAATTTCTCTTCTTTTTTATTTAGTAGAAACTTTAACACTCCTGAGACTTGTACCGTGACTCACGTCAACTCCTCAAGGAGACTAAATTCTGGTTTAACATTGTGCTATTGTGAGGAATATCTGCTGCTTTTGAAAATTTCGCAAGGTTGAGCTATTTCATTCAGTAACATCATTAAGATCTAAGACTAAAAATAGTACTGAAAAATTGGGGAGAATTGGAAAGTAAAAACATTCAATTTGGAAAAAATCATTGAAATCTTTGATGATTGCCTGCAGATATGTCGCTGCCTGACCGAAAAATTTTGCATTTATTTCGTGATAAGAGGCGAAGCCACGAAGAAAAAAATCCGATCAGGTCAAAATTAATCTTGGTACGCGGCTAGTTTGACTTAACAAAATGGACTTTACGAAAGTCAAAAAATAAGTGAACCTTTTTTTAATCTTTGTTTTTCTCCCTCTGTTTTCAGATTGGATTAGCATCTAATCCAACACCACCGAATGGCCCCAGCAGTGTCGTGAGCGTAAGTCCGCCAGTCGGTGAAATCGCTCCTCATACATTATCTGTTACGACGACAACTGATGCCGAGAGTCAGGTTAATCTTTGGAATGGCTTATTGCGTCAGATGCCACCCCACACGGCGAGTTTCCCTCCGCCACCTTTGGTGCAAGATGCACCAAGAGCAGCGTATCCAATGGCTCCTCCGCAATCAAGTTTCGTACCAGATCTTGCCGCTAATTTGCCCCTAGAGGTTCAACAGAACCTCATGAATGTGATAACCAACCCCCAGTCCCTGAACCAGCTTTTGACATCTCTACGAAGTATGGGTCAGAGCTATCCCGGGACACCTCCCCCACCTGCAGTTCCTTTCCAATTCTCCTCGTCGGATACGACGTGGTCAGCTCCTCAAACTCTACAACCCCAAACTCTTCTACCCACTTCTATTTCTGTCCCTGTGGCTCACAGTCAAAGCCTCTTTCCCTCATGGGGAGCCTCCCCTACCTTCTTATCCTCACCAAGCCCTCAATCTTTATTCTCCCCCTTTGGAGCCCCCGGTTTAATCTGGTCTCAGCCAGCGACCGTCCTTGCATCACCCCCACCACCTCAGCTGTCCACGCCTATCGGTCAGAAGAGGCGTTTTCTACCATCGCCTGAACCGAGTCCAGAAGGTAACTACATTGGTCAGCATTCACAGGGCATTGGTGGACACTACGCTGACTCTTACTTTAAGAGGAAGAAGAAGAACTGAGGCGGAAGCTACTTACTTTTTACCTCATTGTGATTTGTGCATAGTGATCTCCTAACTTATTTTTCCTGCGGAAAAACATTACGATCTGTCATCAGAATGAAGATCAGTGCTGTACAGTAGTCTTAATCACCCGGTACTAAATATTGTATAAACTATGTGCAAAAGAGCGCCTTTTGCAAAAAATTCACATTTTGATCAATAATGTGGTACAATTCTGGAATCAAACACAAACCAGATTTCTCTTCATTGTTATCTTGAGTATGAATCGAGCGTTTATAAAAATGTACACCAAAGTATTTCAGCGAAAGTCGCTTGCTGGAAACTCTTCCTCACTCATTTGTGTCTTCAGATATCCATGTAGCCTTTTCTTAGTACAAAATCAGCGTAAAAATTGTTATAAGCGTTTTCTTCTAACTTTGTAAATTCTCAAATAACTGAGGCATACATTTTTAAAGTCACAATTTCCTAGAAAATCTAATGTAACTCATCACAAATTTACATTTTTTATAATTTCATCTTGTAGAGAGTGGTCGAAAAAAGCAGGTCATTTATCTCTATGTTATTTATCTCTATGTTCTTGAGCATTGCTGCAATGACTAAATCATTTGCAGTAATTGTGAACAATGTCTTCTCATCCTGAATTTTGCAATCGTTAATTGAACTCAGTACGTATGCAGAACGTTTTTTGTATGTTCAAGAACGAATGAAAGAGGAATGAGTGGTATTTTACAATGTCTCATTTCAACTCATTGATTTGCTCTACTGTTCTTCAGTAACCCAATGTGTAAAGATCTTTATCAATGTAGTTTTCCTAAAATCTTTTGTAAAATATCATTTGAATCAACGCTGCCCTTACTTTGTGGCTCACTGACTGAGTTTAATTGTGATACTGTAGCTCTGCTCCTCAACGTTAGTTCTTCAATTGACTCATAAATTTAAGTTTTTCATTTTCAGTTGACGAATGAATTGAACATAGTTCCTTTTTGTTTTTAGGAATTCTATTTTAGCTGTAAATTTATTTTGTCCTTTCACGAAAGACTAATAAGTCTGTTAGATTATTGTTTCTTTTCAACGCTGTCCTTTTTAATTTTCTCTCTTAATATTTCTGTCTTTTATTTTTCATTTTTTCTTTTTTTTAAAAAAAAAAAATCAATGGCCTCTTACCAAACACTTGGTTTTACAAGTGGGTATCGTCCCTTTTTTATTATCTTTATGAATGCCTGTATCACAATTTATTGTAGGCACTATTTTTTTATTATCATTTTTTTTCTTTTTGATGTGAAGAAATATCAATTTTGTTCTGAAAATCCTTAGACTTGTTAGCTATTTTTTGTTACTTTAGATTTGTTAAAGAAATATCCTCGGTAATACTCAAAAATTTTCTCGCTTTATTTTTATTTATTCATTTTTTTTTTTTCGTGTACAGTAGCTCCTTTACTAAGGATTTTGTTGATCATATAGACATACTGTAAAAGTTATCCCCAGTACAAGTTTCCTTTCGGTTCAATGTAACCTCTTAAATCTCACATTAAAAAAAGAATATTATATTTCATTTTGACCAGACATTTATCATCACGCTTTGTAAATTAGAGTTCAAAATACTTAAACTCTCTATGTCCTTGCTTTAAATGTAACAACTATAAAATACCATTTCATATAGTAACGAAACTTGAATGAACAACCTCCCGGATATTTTTGAGATTTTTTTGCTCGGGCATTTTGCGTTATGTTAAATAAAAATATGCTAACTTACTGTGTTGAAGAACCAGGGTACTTTTTCCTACCCTTAAATCAAGCTCAACTAATCAGAAAGCCAGCTTTCAGCATTGCATTAATTTCCCACCTGCCTTATTTATTACAGACAACATTTAATGGGTACTTAATAGTCATTTTCCCTATTTTATCTCCATTGTAGTAGGAAATATCTAGGTGAAATATTTTATGGACTGAATATAATCGTAAAGCCTCAGAATCTCAGTGTCTATTAATCGATATGTTATTTCAGTAGGAACCCTTATTTTATTTAATTTATTTCTAGTGCGTTGATTCCGTTGAATCAAGCTCTTCATCTCACCTTTTTAGTGGAGCAGCAGCATTTTCGCTGCCTTAATACCGGAAACGAAATTTTTTTATTTTAATTTGCTCTATTTTGGTGTATCTCTCTCATCATTGTTTGACTTTTTCGAGATCTTCATTTTGCACAACGTAGATTGTACAAAGTTTTGGAACTCAATTTGAATAAAGAGCTTATTTTTAAAATCAGCTTTGCACAGTCCTATGAAACAAATAATCAATGGTATGTAGTAAATTCCCAATGAGCTCTGGTTCCTTTTTGCAAAGTGCTGTCTAATTTTTTACTTGTTGATAATGAAACTTGCTGTTGATGTGTTTATAAATGTGGCCCTTAACTGCTGTTATGATTTTTATTCATTTCCGCTGAATTCTTATTCATGTATGTTGAAAGATGTGTTTTGCAGTTACGTATTGTCACAGCTCTTTCAGTCAAAGTTAAAAAACTAAATCCTGTCCGACTCGCTTTTACAGCGGAAGCAGAACTATTTGCTCAATGAATTTCCATAATACTCTATCTCCAAATAGTTACCATAAAAAGTAACAAGCTTTAAGAAACCCCTTGTTTCACTCTGAAGAGCTTGCAATAGTATTCAATTTGATCATCACATAGCAAATCCAAAGTTCGCTTTTGAAAGAGCTCAACCCTACTTTATTAAAATTAAACTTTTATTGAAAATAATACCGCTAAACTTTTCTCATTAATGACACCCATGGTTTATATGAAAGCTGCCAATAGATTTATGCAGTGTAGAGGGCAGTTACTTTCTCTTTTTTCTTCTTTAAATGTAAACTTTATTTCGGTGCTTACTGTATTAGACCTGTGAAATTTTTAATTATTTGGTCTTGCGTATTAACACATCTCCTTTTTGCTTGCATCTCTTAAGTGACTCAATTTTTTAACTATGAAGAGGGCCCATTCCTTTTGTCCTCAAATGCTCAGTAACAGTTATGATGATTGACGAGGAAAGATCAAGTCCATACCATTTGCGAGCATCTTGCAAGAGAAACCTTTTTCTTATTCTCATTAAATTTTTCCCCGAATTTTGAAAATGATCTTGCAACATTATTGGTACCTATATAAAAAAGTAACCAGAGACAATGCCACCAACATTTTAAATTTTGGTTTTTGTTAGCCCTGACCAACTTTATGTATTTTTTTAAAATTAAATTTAATATTAGAGATTCCCATTGTTGAAAAATTCGATTTTCTTTCTAAAATAAGCTGGTATTAGACTTAAGCTTTACTTAAATTACCAAAAAATTGTTGTTAGCCTCATGCATTCTTCGCTTTGTTGATTTATGAGAACTTAAAGTGACTTGCAAGCAACCTTGAAAAATTGAGGTCATGACCATTTAATACCTGTAACTCTAGAGTGAATTAGTGGCTCCTCAAAGAAGTATCAAAATCTTTTCTCTTTCAAACTAAATCACAATATATCAAGTCATGTTTTTCTCACTACCAGTGGTCAGCAAATTTTCGAGGGCCAGAGATACGTAGGTCATACATACTTAAGAGATCCTTCGGTCTGACCTCTCAACTTGTCAAGTGTTCAAGTTTCCTGTTGGCTGACAAGTAAACTTGTTTTTAAGAATAGTTATAGTAGAAAAATTCACATTAAGTGTACTTCCCATTATGAATGTATTAGTATGATAGACTAAATTGCTGCATTGTGGAACAAGGAAGCTCCGCAAGGAAAATCATCAGATTATAATTCTGTTACATCGTTTTTCGTATTTTATCATTTTTGTATTTGAACTTGGACTCTGAAAAATCTTTACCTCCCTCAATGAAAATTTTTCAATTAAGTCTTAAAAGATCTCAAGAAAATTTCATTGATTGTAAAGACACTATGGAATTTCCTGCTTCTCCTTTGTCTGATCAAAGTGCTAAGTTTTAATGTAATTTGTTGACTTATTTGTTCAAATTGCCTTATTTTTCATAACTTGTTGTAGAGTTATTAATAAATTTTATTTTATTGTGTTTTCGTAAAAAAAAAAAAATATGTTCTCCGAGCTTTTTACATCAATTGTTAACGATTCAAGTCTTTCTTTTTCTCTCTTTTTATCTTTTCTAAGTTATGTCTCTGAAGGATTCTTCCTCTGTTTGCTAATATAATTTAATTTTGTCGATCAGAGCAAATTGAGCCCTTGGAACAGTTAGCTTCAAATCGTAATGCCGGAGGCTTTCCCTTTCTTCTTCTCTCAACTTTGATTTTTCCTTAAATATTATCATACAATTTCTTTTCTCTTTTCAGTAATTTAATTTTAAGTATTTCATTTCTGTATCTGTTTTATGTTCTAAAGACTGAGGCTTTTTTGTTTACTAAGATCAAACTTAGTAGATTTTCTTACAAGTCTCTCCAACATTCTCTGATCACTTTTCAATACTCACCTTTTATATGTGTAAGATGTCTCTTTTTGGGTTAAAAACTTCAACTTAATGCTCTTCAGCTATGAATCAATTCATACTTCTTTTTATTTTATCTTCTCCAGTGTGTCTCATGTTTTTAAAATGAATGCGCCATCATAATTTCTCTAGTCCGTTTTCCTTAATATTTTTTCCCCTCTGGTCACAAGAACAATTTTTATCAATGAGGTAGATCTGCTCTAAGTTTCTAAAATACAAAAAAATCGTCTATTTCAAGCATAATCTTATGCAAGTACTTCATTTTATTTCATCACAATACGATGATGCAAGAGATTCTGTCCGTTTAAACAGTCTCTTTTTTTTTTATTTTATGTTTTTATTGTGAACACTCTTTATTACGGCAAATTCATTAACTCGATTATTTGATGAGACACTTTTTTCTGTGAAGAACTATTTGATTTTGAGAAATTTCTTCTACTTTCTTGTGACTAAAACCAGGCAACAGTTAATGTTGACTTATTCAGTAGTGTTTTTTGTCGACCGCTTTGGAGCCGTGCATCAAATACGTAACGCTGAAATGAGGACTTTTTCCCCCCTCCTCATCATAATTGCAGCCTGTAACATGGGTTTGCGACACCCATAAAAATTATGTAACGCTCTGTTTGACTCTCACTCAAATTAGCGTTTTGTGATGAATTATGGATGGAAAATTACCACTTCAAGTTGATTTTTCACTTTAGTTTTTTTTTAATAATCGGCGCCTCGCTCCCATTTTAGCAGTACATAATGCTGCCCCCTTTTTCCCCATGATGCACTAGTAATGCGTGCTTGGACCCGCCATTTGTGTTATGTATTTTATGAACGGCCCCGGCCCCTCTGGTAAAAACTTCCAAAATCTTGTCTTCTGAAAAGTTGGAAATTCACTTCATTGTTAACTGGGTTTAACCTCATAAAAATTTTATGTTCGTTTCCCATTTTTGAAGTTGAGATTTCCGCATTCAACTGTTCTTTTTGCGGTTTGATCTTCTTGAACAAAAGCCCTTCGAAACTTTTATTCATTGTGTATTGACATATTTTTCTTCTGTGTTTGTATCTTTCTAGTTATTAAGTTCATTCAATGCGAAACGCATTTGTATACATATAGCTTAACCCATTGAGTTCTACTAGAATTTTTAGTCTCTTATGATTTGCAAAAGCCTTCATTTTTCTTTGATTTTAATTCTCCTTTTTAATTGTGAACTTTTCATTTTCGAGCAATGTTTTCATTTTTCCTTAGATGTTAAGGTCTTATTTTATATATTTTTTTAATTATTTACTCAATTTCTTTGTAAACTCTTTCTCCGACAACTTTTATGAATGTGCATCTATCATTTTATTTTTCGGATTATACATGCCACTTTATCATATTTTATCGCTTCTTTTATTATTTGTTCTCTCGCTTCTTATTGTCTCCAAGTCTTCTTGATGTTATTATTGGACGGTAGAAAATTTTCTTGACAGTATCTCTATTTTTCTTCTCTCTTTTACCCTCTCTTCTCTTTCTGTTCCTTTTTCTACTTTTTATCTTTCATCTTTTAAAGTATTTTGCTCTTTTAAGGATATAAAATAGCTAGATTTTATGAGACAGGTATTACGCACCAACAATTCAATGATCATTCCTAAATGGTATTTTTGTACCTCTTTCTGTTACTATCAGCCCGACTTCTGCATCAATGTCTAAGTAATCTTACTAAGTCAGTTTTAACAGCCTATCAGCTGATTAATTCAGCTTCACCTCAAACAAACGGTCTTTTGATCATTATTCCACTGTTTTTGCAGGTGGAATTAAAATAACTTTTATCACTGTGGGTCAGTTGCTTGTGTCTCGAAATCAAGTACATAGGGTCAAATCTTATAAATACGTAACAAATTGCAAAATCTGCTCAAATCCTGTTCTTGTTTCTCATGAGGAACGTGAAGGCTCATGACAGATAATGCCATCCATCAAGTTACTGTGTAGCATGGTCCGTCCCTCCCATCTTGATCTTACCTATCAGTGATTAGTGATATCAGCACCGGCTTTATTTTGTGGATCAATGATGAGTTCATGGTGTGCTTCTACACAGAGTTTGACATTATGCATGGGGTATTTTAAAATATATTGTTATCAGGTTCAGTAGATGCTTTTCAATGGATCATATTTTTATTACCTCATCAGTAAGATACAACCTTTGAAATCTGATTCTAAACCACACACAACTGATTCGTAGCCGTGTGATCCTTCAGAGTGCGTCATTGAATTGAAAAACGTTTGCCTTCTCATGAATTAGTACTTACGTTTGAAAAGTACGGAAGTTAATTTTTCAAAATCGTTTTCTTTTGCATTTGTGAATTCAATGATTGTTTTTACCACATTACGTGAGAAAGCAGCGGTAGTCTGCTTCTTGGAATGCAAGTGACAGACACATAGGAACGCGAATGTCACGTAGATGGAGCGTCAAAAATGCAGAAAAAAACGAGTATGAAAAATTTGTGTTCCGCTTTTTCTAAGAGCACTGATTCGTTTGTCCTATCAGCTCTAGTTAAGAAAGTTGTGTTGCTGAACTCAACTACTCGAGCGTATAGAATACCGAAGATAGTTAAAGCTAAAAATATAGAAATACTCCAGGCATGGCCCGTAGCTAGCTTGACTAGACTTTCGCCTATTAAAAGTTGTGGTTATAACAAATCAACAAAGTAGGTTTGCAGTTAGGATTCTTAGGCAGCATGAATTCAGTTTCTGAAAAAAGCCAACATTTGAATCTAGAGAATCTTGAAATCACACACCTTATTTTCTTATCTCAAACTCCAGTTCAGGCTGAACTCTTACCAAATCTTTCACGTAATACTCTTCTCTTTTCACTCTTCTCTTCCTTTTCTATGGCTGAAATCTGAAAGCACCTGTCATAAAAATGTTTACTTTAAGGAGATTAAAGAGGCTGAGTATATTTTGCATTCAGGCGTAAACCATGGTGCTCATCATATTCTTTGGTTTGTAAATAACAAAACAACCCTCATTCAATTTTGCTGCGGTTTGAAGACTGACATAGGTACTGAGTTGCGTGCTTTCAGAACTGAGCCATCATTTTCGTTGATAAATAACTGAACGTTTCCAACAAAATAGTACACAAAAGCTATCACATTCATGCAGGTAGCTGCAAACCTGTAGTCTCAAGAGGTGTTAGCTCTTTTGTTGGTCAATCAAATAGCAATTAATTATTGAAAAATATTTTAAGAAAAGGTCATGCTTTAAGCACAGCTCAGAAATAACATATACCAACACTCAAATGAGTTTTAAAACATTTTATAAATAAGTATTTACAATTTGCCATCTATGAGTAAACCTTAAATTAAGCAGTCTTGTGTTATCAGTCATCTTCCTATTTCTAATTCTAAACGAGGAAACTACGAGGGAAAAAGAAATTACATGAGTAACTAACTCTATGGAAGATACCTATGTACATAGTTCTATTTTTTATCAGATTACACCTTTATTGAACATAAATGGTATCTAAAATTATATCAGCCCTAACTTCCAACTTGCACAATTTGTGCAATTGTTTTTTGTTTGAAATAGTCACTTAGCGCAGTTTTTAACGACAAATGCTCATTGACAGACCATCAATAAAATGCCAATTTAGTATGAGATCCAATTCCTTATTGCATAGAAGAATTCCATGAATCAGTTTTTTTTAATATATTTATACGATAGTATATCAGTATACTGAAACGATACCCATGCAAGTTCTTAAAAAGAAGTTCTTGCCATTTTTGCATTTCCGTGAACAAACTAAAAAAAAAAAGTCTTAAATGCATTGTAATTTAAATGCTGATTTTGTCAAGGATCTTTCTAAAGAGTACTTTCAATGGCAAAAAGTTGAATCAGTTACATACAACTGGACACATGTTGTACGTAAGTAAAGTGACAGTTCAAACTAGCCTTCAGGAAGTTACAACTGATTTTCTAACATTTCTCAAAAATTCAATTTGAATTACTTTAGAGTCTGATAGGTTCGCCACTGAGGAAAAAATGATCTTACTCTCTTGCATCTTTGATGCATCCTCAGTTATCGAATCCCTCCTCAAACTTAAAATTAAGTGTGGTTAATCTATGAATTAATGAACTACCTACATCAAGCATGGCTCAGTGATCACAATCAGGTAAGTGAAATTTTATTTCTACCCTCAGGATAAGTTTTTGGCTTCCTCCTAGAAACTGATGAAGCATTGTAAAGAAACATGTAACTTGCAACCGAAGAACCTCATACCAACTTAAATAAATCAATGATTTTTAGCTCTTCAATATCTATCCTACACAAGTAACATTTTCAAAAATATATTTCTGATCAGGGTTGGTAGCATCAGATTTTTTTGATGATTATTCCTAGCCAACCTCATAACCAAGGAAGTCCTGCAAATTATATGCAAACATTTTGAAATCCATTTGGAAAATGTCGTAAAGCTGCTTAATCATATCCGATGTCAGTGTTGTGTAGTATTTATTGAGTTGGGAGGAGGTATTGGAGCCCGGACCTCGTGGAAACTTCAGGAGAGGCTCTCCGATGTGTTTCAGTAAATACTCGGCATCCTCATACAGCGTTTCGTACTTTCCAATGAAGTCGTAGTTAATGTAGCAAGGTCTGCAAAGATCTTCAATTGGCAACCTAGAACCAAAAAAAAAAAGATAATAACTTTTCCCCAACTTGAACTACCAGGTAGTAATGCTGACTTTTTATATATTCTCACA